GTTCAGATGTTATCCACCTCTTTCTTCCCTCCTGCACAAATCTTAATCCAGCTGAGTCCTCCTCTTCGGGGTGGCCATTTTAAACCACTGCTGCAGTCGTCTTCGGGGGGGAAAAAGACCAAGCCCGGGGGGGAGATGAGGCTCCCCTCAACCTGGCTTGCGGCTTCCCCTTACTCCGCCGCCCCTCCAAGGCAGCTTCAGCCCCTAATTGTAATGATCGCGGCTCTCCAACAAAAGAGCACGGACCATAGCCGCAGAGAATCACGATCTACGGTCCGTCAGCAAGGAGGCTCCGCCTTCTTCCACCAGAGAAATCTTAAATCTGGTTTTTAATACATTTTTACCACCATAGTAACAAGTGTCAGGTTGGGTCGTTTTGTCCCGAGTATAAATGTAATAATCCAAAAGTTTGGAAAACCAAAATTGTACCTGATCATCTTCTAGTCAAAAGTATCTCAGCTACCCAGGTAGCTGATTTGTTCCAAACTCAATGCAAAGGACTGTTTGTGTAATTATGCTTTTTATGTACCTATTTTTGCCTTAAAAACACGTGCATGGTCTTGCTCATATGACCTCTCTTTGTTGAGTACTAAGGATGATAACTTGAGAGAGGATTTTTAATGGTAACTCTATTTTTCTTGAAAGCTAGTTTGGCATAGTGGTTAAGACAACCAGGAGACTGTGAGTTCTAGTCCCACCTTAGGGACAAAGCTGAGTGACTGAGTCACTTGAGCCAGTCACTCTCTCAGCCCTAAGAAGCAGGCAACTTCTGAAATCTTGCCAAGGAAACAGCTGCCAGCAGCCAATACAGATAAAAACACAAAACAAGTACTTCCCTCTGTAGCAGAAGCTCATCTGGCACCAAAATTGATTTTTTTTGAGGCTCAAGTTCTTTTTTCTTCTTTAAATTTTATAAGCCTGTTTTGATCCCAATGTCATTGGAGGATATGATTTTAGTTTCTGTACTGAGTGATTTTAATTCTTAGTGTCTGTATTGCATTAGTATTATGGTGGAATTGTGTTACTTAACTTACTATTTAGTGCATTGTTCTACTGCTAGATTTAGACCAAGGTTCTGAATGTTGGCAATATTAAGACTTATGGACCTCAACTCTCAGAATTCCTCAGCCCGCCTAGTTGGGGAATTCTGGGAGTTGAAGTCCACAAGTCTTAAAATTGCCAACTTTAAAGACCCCTGGTTTAGAAAATTACCATCTTCTAGATTTTCACTACACTGTATTACATTATCATTCTAGAATGTGTGTCTGAAAACTAGGATTTTGTTTAAGCAATATGTCAAAATGCTGCTTTAAAAATGAAGTGGGGTACAGGTCCTGTGGACTTTCCTCATAGGATCAAGGTTTTCCTTGATTTTTCTACATCAGGCTACAACATGGTGATCTCTCTCTTTGATTCTGTTTTCTCAAGCAGAGTTCCTGATACCATCCTGAAAGACATTTCTTGAGTCGTCTTAACATTTTAGACTGAGATCCAGAGAGGAGCTTTGTGCTTAATAATTGATGTGTATTGCATTGACTACATGCAGAGAGATTGTACAATCTAAAGTACCAAATTGGGAAGCCATTACTCTGTAAGTATAAATGCCCAGCGCTCTAGAGGAAGAGAATATAGATCTTTTAAAATATAATTCCACTTGCTGCATTTCAAATCTTTCGTGTTTATCGTATTTTTTTCATTTTTTAAAATTTCAATACCAGTCTTCTACGGTGCTTACTTTTCTTTCCAATGCCAGCAGCATGTATGGGTGTGCTTCTTACACAGTGAATTAGCATGTTGCAAAGCCATAACAAGGAAAAATTTTCATGAATAGAAACACATTATTGCACACTGACCTGTGTGAATTCAGTAGTGTCAGTTGTCCTAAACATATCATATTGATCACAAAACCTCTCAATGATTTAAAGTTTCCACTGAACAACCTCAAAAGGTGTTCAACAATTTTATTATACAACATGAATTTTCAAGCCCTAAGATTTTAATTCACCTTGGGGATAAAGCAAAGGTAAAGATTTCCCCTGTCCAGTCATGTTCAAGTCTAGGGGCGGTACTCGCCTTCTTATCTGAGGGAGCCAGCATTGTCTGAATGCATTTTTGTGGTCATGTGGCCACCATGACTAAATGTCAAGGTACATGGAACACTGTTACCTTCCCATTGAAGTGGTACCTATTTATCTACTCACATTTGCATACTTCCAAATTGCTAGGTTGGCAGATGCTGGGGCAAATGATGAGAGCTCACCCTGTCACACAACGCTCGGGTCTCAAATCTGGGCTGCCAGCTTTCCAACTGACAAGCCCAGCATCTTCAACTGCCAAGCCATCATGCCCCCTTACCTGGAGAATAAGCAGCTCTAAATTCAAACTGTCTTGCATGAAGATCTCTCTTCACCACTGTCAAGGACCTTGTCTTTACAAGTTCTACTTTGAAAGAAAAGTAGCAATACTGTCCTTTGTTAAGAATACTTTACAAGTCATAACTGATATTACCCAGTAAATAGCTATAGTTAAGACTTAAAATTAGATTCTGGACTTGTACAAAACCTTTCCAATTTGAACAATTTATATTTCAAAATGCTCTATTTTGAGTTGAAAACAGCAGCTTTCAGCTTCAATCACTTGTTTTGCATTTAAAAGAGGCTATTTGGGTAATTTTGAGGCATTTCAAGCTTGAGACTGATGTTTCCCAGTTTTGGAAAACTTTCAAGTCCACACCATCTCAATTGAAATTCAAAGTTGTTGTTTCTGGTTTCAAATACTACTAAGTGCTATATCTTATTCTTGTCCTGTTTCAAGCAGACTCGAAGTGTCAGCACAAATTGTGTCAAAAGGGCGTTTCTCTACATGTATTTCCTTTAAACATAGAAAATGTTGCAAATTGAGCCTCTCTGTCCTGATTTCATTTCATTTAAATTCTGCCTCCATGTTTAGAGTATCATAATTGAACAGCTGTTAATTGACATCTGTCCATAGGTTAAAGCCATTATACTGTATTGTATGTCCAGGTAGCCACCCATTGAGTTATGTTATATAAAGCATTTTTTAATTGCTGTTTGGATGAATGAGCAAATGTTTATTCTTTAAGGTTTTGTTCAAGGATTTGTACATACCTCAGAAACAAGGAGGAAAAACTATCAGTAATAATTATGTCTCCAAAAGGTTTCTTCCATAATTTGCTTCTTTTCAGTGTATGCAATAGAACACCATTGTCTCTCCTAAAATTATTTTTTCCAACTTGTCTTCTCCAATTTTGCAACCGACATCTAATAACTTTTACAAATTATGCTTGCTTCCATGCTATTTAAATAAAAGGAATTGTTTATTTCAATTTAAGGCAATCCAATAGAAACCATATTACATCAAACATTCAACATAGAATATTGTAGCATAAAAGAGATAAAAGTCATCGCCATGCAAATAAAAAGAGCTATGAATGGAAAAAGAAAATGAGATAGGTGAAAACATGCTGGGTGACTGTAAGAAAGTTAGGTAAGTAGATGATGTTTCGATCTGGGCAATAGACCGTGTGTTCAACAGCCTTACTTCATGTCTTCAAAAGATTGCCTTAAAAAAAGAAGTCATTGTTTCTATTACAACTATTCCATTACACAGCCCCATAGAGCTATTCTATGGGGCTGAGATTCGGCAGTTTTGCCCACCTAAAAAGCTGACTTTTATGTCAGATATCTTTCTCTTGCAAGCATTGCATCTTTTACTCAACGGAGCACCAGTTTGCATGATGTAGGTTTTCTTGTTCTTCCACTCACACAAGTGAGGACAAGACTGTTCTGACATGCTTCACCATGCTTTTACAAAGATGCAGTACAGAGAACTGCAGAGTAAATAATATCCACCAGTTGCATTTTTACTGATGTCAGCAATGAACAGATAGAAGACGGGGTACTACCAGCATGCACAGACATTCTGCTCATTCAGTATTTAGGCCACAATATTTCCCACTGTCTCCTTTGGAAGCTTTTCATTCAGAAAAAGGACAGGGAGGGTGAGAGAAATGTCTGTATAGTGCTAAGACAAAGGAATTAATTTCTTTTGAGGGTTGGAAGACCATATAGCTGTGCAAGTTACATTTTGGGGATATAATTCACAGCCAAAAGCAAAGTGAAAAACAGAACTCATTCATTGTAAATAGTTCAGGATTTCTCCCTGAGTTTATGTCATTCAGCATATGGGCTGGGTAGCTTTACATAATAATTCCAGCCTCAGTCCAAGAATTTATAGCTGAAGTTAATTTCACCAACTAGTTGGGGGTCAAAAGAGGATCTGGACTGAGCAGACTGTCAGTCATTATCAGCTGCCTAAATCCAGCTATTTTCAGTAAGCACCAAAAGAACCTTACTATTGAATTCTGGATTTTTTTTTTAAAAAAATGTTGATTAGTTTATGGGTAAAACAACCGCTAGCACAGAATGGGTTTTATAAAGATAAGTGGCAAAGTAAAACCACTTAAACAGCCATAAACTGGATCCATGTCTTTTCTCCTAGTTCTGTATCACATCTCTGTTGGTGCAATAATGGAATCAATAAAGGCATCTTTGATCCACATATAGGGATTTCTTCTTTCATTCCAGTCCCTGGGTTAATCTGCCTTGTTCCAATTTACTTGATTTTTATATTAGTGGGAAATTACCTGAAAGACATCATGTCTAGTAATAATTAGTACACTGGGCTTCTACAGAAGTTTGCAATATCCTGTTATTATTCTTATTTATAGTGGAACTTATCTTATTTTAAATAGAGGAACTTCTGGACCACAACTGTCATGGACCAATTGGTTCGTATGTTCTCACATGTTGTTAAGCATGCAAACTCCTTTGTCCCTCACATTTGTGGAGCTCCCACAATTCTTTCTCAGGAACCTGTAGAGCAGAGGTCTCCAACCTTGGCAACTTTAAGACTTGTGGACTTCAACTCCCAGAATTCTCCAGCCAGCTAGTTGCCAAGGTTGGAGACCTCTGCTGTAGAGCAAGAGGGCCCAAATCCTTGAATTTTCATTTACATTGGGGACAAACCTTGATATTTATAGCACCCAAGGCCTTATACCTTATATTCCCTGAACCTTCTCCCAAAATAGGTCCTGGATCCACTCATTTTGGAGGTATGTGCTGTGCAAAGAACCAACATGGCTGATGGGCTAAGTGAAGATGCACACTCTTGCTGTACAAATTGGAGGAGCTGAATGATGTTCCAGTATATGTTCCAGTCCGAGAATCCCTAAGATGTTAACAGTACCTTTTGTTAAATTTTGATTAACCCCGAACAAATTAACTGTAGGACAAGAAAGGGCCTTGCAACTTGTATCGCCTTTTTTTTTTTAAACCACTCTAAAGGCGACAGCTGGGCATAATTGCTCATCTACTGCTTAATGCCTCTTTCACTCTCCCTGCAATTGAGCAAAATACCAGCCAGTTGCAATGCAAATCTTATTAACAGATCAGAAAGATTCAAAGAGCGAGTTCTATGAAGTGGACCTTCTTTGAACTTCTACAAAGCAGTGAGTTAAAAGGGATGGTGGTGGAATATTTGAGATGCTTCAAATAATTAAGCAAAGTAGTACATCCTTTGCAAAATGAGAGTCAACATTTGGAAAGTTGACGCTTCAGTGTAATTTTTTTAAAAAATTGGCCTATATAATCAACATATTCAAATTCTCAGAAACTTCAATTCTTGCACTTAACCCTGAGAAGGAACATCCCATAATCTTTGATTTCATTTCTGATCTCTGCCATTCTCCTTCCTACCTTCTGGGAACAATGTAGGTACCATCATTGGAGAGGGAACTGTTCCCTTAGCTAGCTCTGCTATGGAAAGCAAACACCGACTACCAGAGTGGTTGTATAATTGGATAATAGTAGCAATGCAAAAATTGGGTCTGGAGAGCTGGAAGGAATCTTAAGACAGGCAAACAATTATGAGTATGAGGAAGTTCACCTGCTGCCACTAGGGACATTATTCATGAGCAGAATCCAAATAGGCTTTGCATCTAGTCTTAGTGAAAGGATTGGAATATCTGCCTGGCTAAGCATAATGGGGCTCATGGGATCTCCATCACTGCAGGTTTTCAAGCAAAGAGTGTACAGTCATTTATCAGGGATGGTGAGAGGATTTTTGCCCTAAGGCAGGTGGTTGAAGATCTCCATGATCCCTTCAAACTCTAATTTTTTTACTTTCCTTCAAAAAAGAATGAACTGCTGAGAAATAGCTGGGACTCTCTACTGGATTGTATTTGCAAATGGTGAAATTTGGACAGTTTCATGTTTTCATGTAGCAGCTCTACATTTGTTCTGAATGAGTAGACTGTTGTTAATGTTTGATATTGCTAACCTGATAGGCAAAACTGCAATAAGGTATTTAAATAAATCAGGTTCAGTTTTAATTTTCTTCTCTGATGTTCCAAATACATCATTAATGCCTCACACAGAAATGTCAGATATCAAAGTCAAGGGAGAAATTGGTTTCCAGGTAGATACTGGAAACTGCAGCTTTAGAAAAATTAAAAAAGGGACTTAAGGGAGGCATTAAGACATACTAATAAACAATCCAAGCCTGCACAAATATTGCCAAAGCAGATTTACAAACAATAAAGGGAATTGGGCAAGCTAGGGATGGGGTTCAGTACAAGAAATAGTAGCAGCACCAACATGACATCAAACAGATACTCATCACAATATTTAGCCTGCCAAGTCAATCCAGAAGTTGAGCTGTTACAAAGGAAAGACAGAAGGCCTAATGTGGCAGGCAGATGATACACACAGGCTATAAAAAATTCCAATAATTCAAAACTTTTTGAAGCTGGAAGGAGGAGGGGAAAGGGATGCTTGGAAGATTTATGGAAATCCATCACACATACCATAAGCAAAATGAATCATGTAACTTCCTGAAGACATACTAGACTCCATCTTGGTTACTTCGCTGAAAAGAAATGAGGATGCTTACCTGTGATTGAGTGTGTCCTTTTTAAAAAATACCCCCTCCCATTTTTGCTGTTTACCAAATGGAAATGTCTATGAATTAAACAGATCGTTGTGCCAACATTTCAGCATAAACAGTTCTCAATATGAACTTTTTCGAAAGAGAACACGTTGTGGATTTCCTCACTCTGGTGTAGATACTGCTTGGATCTCTGGCCCCAGAAAACAGATAAGCAGACCCTGAAGAGTGACTGGATGTTTCGACGCCCCTCTCTCTCTAAAATTGCTCTTCCGATCTTCAGATTTCGGTCTGAAGGGTGTGGCTTGAGGGAAAGTAAGGAGGTGGAGCTGGATTAGGTTTGATGCCACGCCCCTTCATGTAGGAGATGAACTGATCTGGAATCTCAGCCAGCACGTCCTTAGCCAGCCGTGCCATACTCAAGACGTGGTTGCCAGTGCGGTCAATGTAATCGCGGAATGGTACAAACTGAGAGAGAGATATCAACATATAGATATATATTTAAATATTTATAATCATTTATTTTTCAATTTAGACAGCATCACAAAGTAATGTAAAAGGTAACCATGTATTTAAATACCCCAGCTACTTATTGTGCTCAAACTTCCTGGCTGAAATACTGCAACAGAGACAGAAATTTGTTAAGAGAATTCACTAATCTTAGATAAATTAAAATTAAGTGCCCAGGCTATGCTACTAAGGCCAACATAATGGCCAAGGCCTTAATGTCCCCATAATTATTAAACTATCTTTAAAATACTAGACTGGGAAAGAACATCTTAGGGGGCTAGTCAGGAATGGGGAGTTATTTATACTAGTTTGATAAGGGTATTTTTGTTGCTAGCCATGTCTATAATAATTCCTAAGTGAGCATCCCCCATGTCATGCTTGCAAATTC